CATTCCGTGCTTTCCCTTAGATGTTGAAGTCTTCATAATCCAGTCAACCACAAGAGGAAAGAGGAGGGGGAGAGTAAGCAGCCTTGTCTGACTCCGATCCCCACTTGGAATGCGTCTGTCAGCTGTCCTTCATGCATCACTTTTCAGTGTAGTCCGTTGTATGAATTCCGGATGATGTTGACGACTTCTCAGGTGCTCCATAGTGCCGAAGAGCATTTCCATAATGTTCTCCTATCCACACTGTCAAATTCTTTCTCATAATCAGGGAAGTTGATGTATAGTGACGAGTTCCACTCAGCTGATTGTTCAACAATGATCCGTAATGTCAAGTCCCGCTGCTTTCCCACTTTTGATTTATCTGATGGACATCCTGATTTCTTCCGTCGTTGGTGGATTGACATGTATAGAAAGGTCTCTAGGTACTGCTTGAATATCCGGGGGATTCGATGGATCCGATCTATTTAAGAGTTCCACAAAGTATTCCACCTACCCGTTCATCTGTCCTTGAATTTCAGTGATTGGCTTGTCTTCCTTGTCCATGACTGGTCTCTCTGGTTCACTGTATTTCCCTGCTAATTTCTTCGTCGTGTCATATAGTTGTCTGATAGTTTGATCTCTTGCGGCTTTTCTCACTGTCCATGCTATGTCTTTCACGTATTTCTGCTTGTCTGCTTCAATGCTCTTCTTTGTGTGGGGATATTGGGCTGTCTATAACCAATTTGTTGAGTGCACATAGGCTTGCGAATCTCTTCCCATTTTCTTTCCTTTCTCCCAATCAGTCCATGTCGTCCCATGATATCTTCATATCTGGTGTTGTCCATTCCGACTTTGGCGTTTAGATCTCTCATCAGGATGGTCAGATCCCTTCTTGGGTACTTCGCTACGACTGATCACAGCCTCTCGTAGGACTGATTTTCATCGTCGTCATTGCTATCGTTGGTGGGTGCATAACATTGGATGACATACGTCGTGATTATTTCCATTTTGTTTGCTTCCACCTTATTCAAATATTCCACGTACCCACATTGTTTACTGCTTTGACTTTTATATTAGCCGTCGTCCTTATAAGTGTCGAAGAATTTCGGCATTCACCATAAAGCGTTATGATTTTTCTAAAAGAACATGTTACAACCCTGATGGTTGTGTTTAAATAGTTTAAGATACTTTTTCTGGTTAGCGTTTTTCTCCGGCTGCTTGTTATACACCAATTCTCCTCCTTTGTTTTCCATCAGGATTCACAATAACCTAAGAAGAGCTACGAGATGAGTGAGTTCTACATTATTCTTTCATGAATTATCAAGGTTTGTAGTCACGGTGATGTCAGGATCTTTCCAAGTTTACATTCAATTATTGGTCGTCCCAAACTACATTAATTTGTACAATCGGCTGGCCGTCGTCTCATAAGAGATGTTATTATGTTTGAAAATTTGGATAATCTAAACCTAGTTTGTCACAGAAACCTTAAAGTCTATTTCGTTTATCAATAAAAAGGTTTAGAGGCAACTTGAACATGCTTTACGCAGATTAATTACAACGTTTCATCCGATATGTATTCATTTTTCTCGTTCTCTTGAGCAAAAGCCCACAAAGTTGGTTGAGCAACGTACACAAGTCTATAGTCAGTTTCTTGATATATGACTATCGACTTCCACATAAAAACGTTAACCAGTTAAAGCTTTAATTTGGTTGCAGTTTTATGCAGTGAACGTTTTAATAGATAATTGTCAATCAAGATTCCAAAACTGATACTGAAACCTCAAAGAATTGTTTTGTAGATTTCTGTTCCTATAATATAGTCGCTACATCGAAACAATAAATCAAAGCACATATTGTTGTCGCTTTGTCACGAATAGTTACAATATTGGACATTGTCACACCTTTAAATGATATGAAGTTTTCAATATTTTATTTGTTGCATTAAAGCACGTGGACGTTTTGAATATTGCGTACTTGTTTTCGTGTTGCCTTAGAATATGGGGAAATCTAAGAAAGAAAACAAGAGTAGTAATGCTGCTGAATCAGTTACACTGAAGAAGGAGGTTTCAGTGTTACAGGGTGTGAGTATTGTCGTCGGTGTTATAATTGGTTCTGGTATATTTGTTTCACCTGTCGGAGTTCTAAAACATACTAAATCCGTTGGATTGTCATTTATTATGTGGACTATCACTGGATTATTCAGCGCATTAGGTAAACCATCACGCTTATTGATCTTATCTAGACGAAGGCGCCATCGTGTACGCTGAACTAGGTGTTACTATTCCTCGATCTGGTGGAGAATATATATACATACTCCAGACGTTCGGACCTTTACTTGCCTTCCTGTCTTTCTGGATTACATTCGTCGTAATCGGATCTGCAAGTTGTGCGGCAAATGCACTTATTTTCGCCCAATATATTCTTCGACCTGTTTATATGGACTGTGTTACTCCTCCTATCGCGATACGCACCGTTGCAGTGCTAGGACTGCGTAAGAGTTACATAATTTTATTTCCGAATCAAGTTCTTCTTTGCTTTGTGCACTGTTTTAGCGTTAAACTGGCTACGAAAGTCGCTGTTGTCTTCACTGCTTGTAAGGTTATAGCTTTACTCATCATAATTGGTTTCGGCCTGTACTATCTGGGAAAAGGTAAGGTAAACTTCCATATGTAACTTTTATATAAGCCTTTACTTCGTTTCCTGACTACCCCTTGTTGTTTTAAATAGGCAATGTTGAGAGTTTCAAAGACCCCTTTGAAGATAGCGAAAAATCACCCGGTGAACTTGCATTGGGTTTTTACCAAGGGTTTTGGGCTTTTTCTGGTTGGTAAGTTGTCTGAATGTCCCGTTTTATTTATTAGCTAAGTGTGATCATGTAAAAACCTCGTTTGTTATGTTAATTGTAGACTGGCAATCGTTTTAACATACTTAAGTACCAAACTTTTGTCTTAGTAAATTGTGAATCACATCTTTTGTTTCCTAAAATCCAGAAAAGTACTTCGTGTATCAGAAAAAAAATTCTGAATTAATTGTCATGCAGTTTACTATACGTCGATATGATTATATACTAACTCTACATATAAGGCTCCAAACTTTTGGCAATATTAGATCTACAATATATTAGGACCCTGACTACTATTGTTCTACATGGGGGATGTTTTGGATTTGTGGTTATTGCGTTCCCATTGTATCAGTTTCAGTTTGGAAAGGACAGGAGGCTTGATGGCCTGTGTTAGTCCTGGCAATGGTGGTCTATCAGTTGATCCAACTTTCTTTTGAAAGGGTCGACAGATGGAGCCTCAACCACGTGCTGAGGTAATGAATTCCACTCGTTTGGAAAGTCGATAGTCAGCTGAAAATTAACTTGTTCTGAGCTTGTGAACACTTTTGGAGTGTCCTCGTAAATTCTCTGTTTTGGAAGACAAGAAAAATGGGGGCGTATCAGGTGCGAATTTGGCACTAAGCAATTTGAAAACTGTATTGAAGTCGCCTCTAGTTCTGCGATATGACAATGGGAAAAGGTTCAGCTTGGCCAGTCGAGCTTCATACGGAAGCTTCGCTATTCCGTGAATCAGCTTAGTTGCCGTTCTCTGAAACTTTTCCAGAAGCTCACTGTCTTTTTTTAAGCAGGGGCTGGCCGCTTGTATGCAGTACTCAAATTTAGGACGTACGAAGACTGCATACAAAGTCAAAAACGTTTTAGCGTCGACATGACTAAAAGCCTTACGTATTGACCATAAGGTTCTAAAACCTTTGGCGGGTATTGCACGACAGTGTGCAGTAGTCTTTAGGTCTTGGCTAACGATGCCCCCAAATGCCCTGGTACGGCCGAGAGTGGGGAGAGTCCGCTCTCCCTCTCGAAATGCTCTCACATGGCCACGCGTATATAGCCTCTACCAGGGAAGTTCTACTCACTGCCTTCTCGTGGCGGGGGTGTTGTTTACGAAAATGAGAGGACGAAAAGCGAATGTCCGACTCTTCAACCGGATCTCAAACCAATAGTGCACATGGGCTTCAGTATCCTGCGGGAAAAAATGGTGTATGAACCAACTGTTGGTCACCGGCTTCAATGGGACTGTATCTCCACGATGCTCTACTGCCATGTGGATCAGACCTTCAGGTAGAAGGCTCGGGGAATGGCCCCCTAAGAAAATCACCTGCTTCGGTTTGGGCACCCGGGCAGTATCACAGCCCTCACACATGTCGAATGAGATTTGTGTGGCGCATATGTATTTGGTGCCTCCTTGTACTAATATCTGTGTGTTAAAATAAATATAAACAAATAAAACGATGGCTCCTAAGTCATTATATGTCTGGACGACAGGTAACTCAGTGTTATTCATCGTGTATGTATCTGTGTCTTGATGACCGATATGCATCACAACACACTTGGAAGTATTAATCGGCAACTGACAGGTTTGAGACCATTCAGATAATTTCTTCGGGTCATTTTGGAGTTCTAAGCTATCACTCTTACATCGTATCGTTCTCCATATCTTGACATCGTCAGCATATAGCAAGACCGATGATGATAGGAGACGAGGAAGGTCATTTACATACAAGAGGAATAGCGCTGGCCCCAAAACTGTTCCCTGGGGCACTCCACTAAGCACAGTTCCCCAGCTAGAGTTCACCCGTACTCTTTGTTGACGCCTAACTAAGAAGTCTTTTATCCACATCAATAGATTGCCTCCAGTCCCGACATTTCTTAACTTATATAACAGCCGATTGTGCGGAACTAAGGATAGGGAGTGAAGTAGTCGAACGCGTTGACAACTTCACTTATCTTGGAAGTCTGATCAGCCCTAATGGGTTGGTGTCGGACGAAATCTCAGCACGGATTCGAAAAGCTCGTTTGGCTTTTGCCAACTTGCGTCACCTATGGCGAAGGCGAGATATCCGTCTATCAATAAAAGGATGAGTATACTGCGCGGCAGTCCGTTCTGTTTTAATTTACGGCAGCGAAACATGGCCATTAAGAGTAGAAGACATTCGTAAGCTATTAGTATTTGACCACAGATGCCTTGGAAATATTGCTGGGGTCTGCTGGGATCACCGGGTAAGTAATAGTGAGGTTAGACGCAGGGTATTAGGGAATGATGGTAAATCAGTTGATGAGGTTATGAATCTTCATCGACTGAGATGGTTGGGCCACGTGTTACGTATGCCTGAACACCGATTACCACGACGTGCAATGCTATCCGGTTTTGGAAATGGTTGGAAGAAAGTTAGGGGCGGCCAAACCAAAACGTGGCATCAGTGCTTGAAGTCACTAACTTCTAGTCTGAGCCATGTTGGTAGATGCAGACTACTTGGTTGGGGTCCGCGTGACTATCTTAACCAATGGTTGGAGACTCTTGGTGACATGGCTCAGAATCGATCACAATGGCGTCGGTGTATACACTCCCTGTCTTCCTTTAAACTAAGAGATTAAAATCACTTCATATCTTTCTTTCTACGAACCAATTCTTTCCTCTTGTACTATATCTCTATATGCAATCTTTCTCTTACATGCTATGAATCCGGTGTTCATCTTGTTGTGCTGATGCGGTATGGCGACCTGGACCGATGCACATATGTGCCGGGTCCTACGTTGTAGCTGACTGACTGACTGTGCGGAACTTTGTCAAAAGCTTTGCTGAAATCAATAAAGGCTACGTCTACCGGTAACTTTTGGTCCTTAAGGGCGCACTAGCTTTCACGAGCCACCAATAAGTTAGTGAGACGAGAGTAACCTATTCTGAAACCGTGCTGCTTCTCCGAAAGGATCCGGTTTTCATCGAGATACTTAAACAGCTCCTTACGAATAGTCTTTTCTAAGCTTATAAGAACCACACTAGTTAGGCTAACGGGGTGGTAATTCTCAGGTTTGTGTTTCGTACCTGTTTTGAAGACAGGACTTACTATGGCGTTTTTCCAGTCTTTTGGTAAACGACCCTGCGTTACGGATAGGTTAAAGCATATACTTAAAGGGTTCGCAACGAAGTTAGATAGTTCCTTCAGTAGCCTAGGATGTAATTCATCGGGCCCCGTGGATTTACCCATGTCAAGCTTATTTAGTAGACCAAAGACATCGAGTTCTTTAATTGTCACACTATCCAGTGTATGTGTGGGGGGATCTATATACGTTGACGGGAAGGGTGCTTCTATGGTGTATACATTGCTAAAGTAGTTCGAGAACATTTGAGCCTTACCAAAGTCGTCCTCCACTAATGATGAAGCAGTACTGTCTCCCCATAGAGCAGGAATATTTCCTTTTTCTCCTTGTCCTTTGGTTTATATAGGAATACAAGCATTTAGGACATTCTATGGGTTCCTTAACAATTTTTTCTTTGTACAACTTTCTAGACTTGCGGAGGGTCGAGGCACAAGTATTCCGAGCTTTTCGTTACTGAGATTTTGTCTCACCGGTCCCCAGTAACCTAAATCTGTCCCACATTTTTCTTCTCTTACGGAGAAGGATGCGGACCTCCCTACTGAACCACGGTGAGGAGTTTCTCGGCCCCCTTGGTATAGTCCAAGGGATGCGGGGCGTGGTAACTTTTAAGTATGAATTTCGAAATGCGTCCCAGGCCGTTTCAATTGAGGACTCCGGTTCTATTGTCCAATCTATTAACAATGCTGAGTGCATGATATCTGGTGTGTTTGCTTTCCAGACGTTGAGTCTGGATTGGGCTGACACGTGCTCATGACTGACAGTTATATGAAAGTCGAAAGTTAAAACTGCATGATCACTTTTACCTAGGGGTGGCATATAATGGAGGTTCGCAACGTCATCCTCATAGTGAGTCAGTATAACATCTAGTAAGAATGATTCAGTGTCTGGGTCGTGCCTTGTCGCTTCTTTCACATGTTGCACTAAGGCACATGTGATAACCCCATCAACTAGTTCCTGCTCGAAGGAATTTTTGACGATTCAATTCGCAGATTCTCCCAGTCTACCAGAAGTGCGTTAAAGTCCCCTAGGATTAGACATCGACCACTTTGTGACGAAGTATTGAGACTGCTTAACAGGACCTCATCTACCTCACAGCTTGGACTGCGATAGACCAAACCAACCAGCAGCTCTTGACCCTTGCATTTCAAACGGTAACTAACTGATTAACACGTCACACTCTCATGGGATACACTGTCGATAATGGCAAATGGGATAACATTCATAATGAATAGAGCTACTCCCCCTCCTTTACGCTTCTGTATTCTGTCGGCCCTTACTAACGTAAAACCCTCGAAATCACGTTCCATACTATCTATAGCCTGCGTCAGCCAGGTTTCTGTAACTGCGATTATGTCTGGCTTTGTAGAGTCAATCTGTACACCTAGTTCCGATCGCTTATTAAGTAAGCTTTGGGCGTTACTGTAACAGATCCGAAGCCTATTTGAGTGGCTTCGTGCTTCACCCAAAGTGGCTTCCGCATCATTTTGTGTCGAAGCCTTACAACCCGAAAATTTAAAATTTTCAGGTCCTTTTCGTCGGCATCTAACCTAGGTTGTAGTTCTTTTTCGGCTTCCCGTCTTTTAACATGGTCTGCCAATGGCAAGTCCTTACGGATAAAAACTCCTGAACCCTTTAAATCATGTCCATTCTGTAAAATTAGATCGCGTTCGTTCGAAGATTTGAATACCACTTTAAGCAGTCTGGATTGATTTGGTTTCAAGTTTGCTAGACTACCTAGTCTGTACACCTTTAGCAAGGTGACCCCGGTGATATTTTGAGGCATGATTTGATTAGGCAGCTGCTTAATCAGCACAATGTCATGCTCAAAACGAGCTTTTGGTTCAGAGCTCTCACTGTCCTTGATTCTATGAAAAGTAACTGATCTGTCGCTGTAATCAGCTTTCGATTTTTCAACTACTTTTACGGGTGCAGGATTCCCTTTTATATCGCTACGTTGTTTCTCCCTTACAACTTGTACCCATTCGTCGATCGTGCTAGGAGAAGAAACAACAGTTGCGTCAAACCTACTGTTGGATTCCGGAGGGTTGTCGATGACCTAGGAGGTCAGGTTGTGTTTCCCGCTAGAAACCGATCGAGCCTTGCGATTGCTGCTTCTAGGCGTTTCGTGTTGGATGCCATTTAGAAGACGGGGAACAGAAGAACCCTCTTTTCTTGAGTTTTCGTTTAAGACAAACCTCTTTGGAGACTGTCTTTCCTTCTTTGATCGGTGTGAGTCACCTATTTTCGAACTCGAACTGAACCTTTTGAAAGCCGCAGGCGTTAAGTTCGTGCAAACCTCGTGGTACTAACCTTTGTGCTCATCGCACTGTATGCCGCTTTCAACAGGATAACGACAACCCGGGCGTTGGCGACTGCTTTTTTTGCACTGTCCGGTCATTAGAAAGGGGTCCTTTTCAAAAAAGAGCGAGATGCAATAATCCTCAGAGACAAAAAATTATCTATGACCAAAAAGGTGGAGAACTGTAGATTGTTAGGACCAAAAGTACTAACAGATACAGTAGAAATAAGGTACTCAAGAGTACTGACGATAAACTAATTGAGAAACAGTAAACGATACTCTAGTCGAATACTTTAACTGAAATAAATTCAATTAAAGTGAGAACAGTAGTCTTGATACGTAATAAACGATCAAAACAACAAAATTTCCTCAGCGAAGAAAAATACCACTTTCCTTTTTAATTAGCGCGCGTGTAGTATCTCTTAAGTAAATTAGTAATGTCAATTTATTAATAGCTAAGTGATGATAATCTGTTTCCGTCTATTAGCTTTACTGTTCTACATAAATTTGTGCACAAACTGTCTTAAGCAGACATAAATTCATCCCTTTAGGCAATAAAGATACGTGGTTCTCAACCCACTTATGTTGTGTCATCAGAAAGTAAAGCCGGACAACTTGAAATTCCCATTCGTCTTTCGTGAATTCACGCGTACTGTAGACATCAGTGTAAATAAGAGTTACGGGTTTTTCTGGCTTTGGTATCGCACCGGTTGATTGGGTCTCCAGTAATAGTCGGTCACGTGCTGTTAAATTAGAAAGTCCGGTCAAAGTGCTAGGAAATCGGTTTGAGGAATGATGTCTTTCCTTCATCGTCTACGCTCCGACAGGATGCAGCCCGGATAGGTATGCTCAGGTCAGGCGTTTAGGCAAAGAAGAGAGTCGGTTAGGTGGCTGATGGGGACTTGTTGGTCGCATGTTAGATAATGGTGACTGTCTACTACAGCTTTGCGCAAACTATAACCGGATTCTAGCTGCCACTAACTATCAAAACAGTCATCGCTGATGTGCCGCCTGGCGTCCTCCCCCGTATCTCAAGCCAGGACTCAGATTGATCACATCGCAATCAGCTATGACTGGCGTGGGTATGTACAAAACTACCACTCTTTCGAGGTACCTATCTGGACTCTGAGCATGCCCTTGTTTGCGTTTCAGTGACCAACAAATTCATCGTTGTAAACGGATCGATGTCAGCAAATCGGTTGAAAATTCTGTTGCAACTAAATATCAAACTGAGCTAGGTTCAAGGCTGGTTATCAACCAATCGAAACGTATTGGTGAGCATTGGCTGCAGTTGTATGACCACATGAAAATAGCGAGTAAAGTCGCTTGCGGCTTTGCGAAACATCCCGCTTATTATAAGCACTTTTTTCAGGCTCCTTACAACTTGGTGAAGCACGTCGGTTTGTTTCGGGTATCGCGAATGTGAGCATAAATGAAGATTGTTACGCAACTAATTTGTGCAAAGTTTGAGTAAGGAATGAGAGGTCTGGTGATTGTAGCGTGCTAACGAGTTAGAACTCCAGCCCTTGAAGCACTACAAATCATCAGCCCAAGATGACATACCTCTGGCCTTTTGTAAAGTTGGTGGCGATCTTCTAGTTGTGGAATTGACTGAGTTATTTTACAAAGGCCTGGTAATTACAGAGTGTTCCAACATCGTGGAATGAGTCGATAGTTGTTCCTATCTTCTAAAAGGATTCATGTCGTTTCTGCAACAACCATTGGGGGATAGCTCTACATCCGATCGCTTCCAAACTGTTGGCTTCCGTCATACTTCGTAGATTTTTCAAAACCCGAGAAAGATTGACTCGCGTGGAGTAGGCTGGTTTTCTCTGTAGTCAAGGATGTATTGATCACATCTTCACCTTCTGGAGTCTTAGAGATGGTGCAATATAATAGCTAGAGACATTATCAGACTTGACGCAAAATAGAAGCCAGTTGCGATCCTGTTGTAACTTTCTTTTACTTTCTTGATAAGAAATAAACGTAACTTCCTTAACTGAAAGAATTTTTCTAGTATTGTTGCTAACTGAACTCTTTCTCCTATTATTATTATTATTATTTCACTCTAATACACTAATTCCTGTTCATTATTGTTATTTTTTTATTATACTCAATTTACATTCTCTATCTTTTAAAAACCACATTGTTATTGAATGGAGCATGTATTTGATGCCCCCTTGAACCAATGTTTATATGTTCAAATAAATAAATAAATAAAGTCTCATCTGTTCTGAATTTCACCCAAGTAAGTTGGAAAAGAGATGGCCTTCCAGATCCATAATAAGTCCGCGACATACTTTTTGAGTTATTGATAAAGTATGTTCATATGGGTTTTCCAAAAAACAGATATTTGAGGAGTATTTAGTTTAAATATTTCAATTTATTTTGCACTTTATGTCTTGTTGAACATGACTAGAAAATGAGACATCAGGTTGTTTGATCCTTTTGGGTTGTATTCTTATTTGTTTTGTAGGAATTATCTCAACTTTTTGACAGGAGAAGTGAAAAATCCTGGGAGGTACGTAATGATAGTTTATTTATCCTTATTCATCTGATCATATGTATAACTATCAATCTAAATAGAACAAAAGGGGTGGTTTGAAAATAAAAAAATGGTTTGACAGTTAACACTGAAATACCTCAGTTATTCGTAAAGTAGTGAATCTATAAATGCTTCATATTTCCTCTACGAGTTGAATTTTTCATATTTTCGTTTCTATCTACATATTATGCTATGTTGCAAAGTTGAAACTCTAGCCAGGTGTTCAAAACATCATACCTCGGACATGTAAAAAATGTTCAAACCCATTACATACTTATATCTGAATTTGCGAGTAGTACCTGTTCCCATAATATTAGTTTTACATAGACTGGTATGTAAACCTGCGTTGAAAAGTGTGGATCTTCCTATTAAACAACGATAGTCCATTAACCATTCTAAATGAAGTGACTTACAAAGGCAAACAGAAGATAAATGAAATCGAAGACGTTATGTATACTGAGAAAGTTGAGTGTGAAAAGTTCTGTGTTATTTTTACCGGTAAAATATATTGTTTTCTGACCAAAACTGCTACAAATTACAAGTGTATAAAACAGCTCGCAGCATCCATATTAAATAGTTGAATGATGTCAAACATTATGGTACTCAGCTTACTTCAGTAACATAAATGAAGTCAAATTAGTTACCGTAAAGGCACTTGAGATCTACATTCCAAGTTATTAGCATCATATAGTGAAGATATTTGTAATGAACACTAAGCCTTCGTTAGTTGTAAAACTGCTTAATTAAACAAGTTAATTTGACTTTTTATACACAGGACACTACCAATCGTAATTATACTCTCACTCACAACAGTAACGCTCATCTACATTTTGACCAATGTGGCCTACCTTGCAGTCTTATCACCATTAGAAGTTCTTGCCTCAGAAGGTTCTACTGCAATAGCTGTGGTGAGTATTTTCTCAATATTTCACGAGTCTATTATGAATATTCAATGAGTTAAATACTACATCAATTCATGTTCTTTAATATTTTATGAAAAAGTAAACTTTTTTGAAGTGCTTCACTATTATTTGATCGTTCGAATAGAAACAGGTAGTTTTTTCTAGAATTTTGAAGTCCCATCCACAAAGCTCCAAGGCAATACTGCGATTCGTATTCCTATTGTACCCGGGATTCAGTGGTATTATATGTGCCTTTTTATTTAGTCCCGAAGTATACATTTGACATTGATTCTAAATCAGGATTTTGTAGTGTCTAATGAAAAACTGCAACGACGTCCATCGTAGGTCTGAAGTAAATACCAACGTTGCAAAAATAAAGTGATCAGGTGTTCCTCGGTAAAGGACATGCTAGGTTGCTATATGACAGTTATTTGAGTGACAGGTTGATGTTCTTAGTAACTTGTGGCATAGAACGAATATTATCAAAATAATTGGATGATTTGTCTCATCAGGATTGTATAGTAAAGTGCTTTACAAAAAAGTCAAGCGACCTCCGCCCTTGACAACCATTTCTATTGTACAAATTCTTTATGTGTTGTTACCTGGCATATGTCCTACTTGCCAGACTGTGTGCCTGAAGATAAGCACCCTAAATTCGAAACACAACTATTAATAATAAATACCATATCTTCAATTTATTTGAAACTATCAAGTG